GGGGGGGGGGGGGGAACCCAAACCCATCAATTAATCTGATACCTACTGGATAAGGAAAAAAAAAAGCAACTGCAGCAGAGTCAGTACAGAAAACTATTCTGTATAAAAGCCTCTCTATTTACACATTTTCCCCCCAAAGATAAGATAGCATCTGTCTGTTGTACGTGAACAGCTCTGAAAATCAAGCTTCCCTTTCAAGTAATATCCCAGAAGTCTTTAATTCATAAATGATTACTTACAGAGCAAATAAATTTGACTATTTTGAATAGGAAGGAGGATGAGAGAAAAGGTAATACATTTATTCTTCTTGTTTCTGTAATCTGTATCTGCCATATTTATAGACAGAAATCTTCAAAGGTTTTATCATCATGCATTAGCTGACTTACTAAATAAAACAGTGTCTGAGATAGTGAGTTACAAATACAGTGTAAAAATAAAACCCTATGAAACTATGAGGCTGCTTCTTTGCAGCAAAGTGAATAGGCGAGGAAGAGCTAAGCTGAAAAAAAATAAAACCAAAAGCCAACACCCCCAAAAAAACCCAAAACCAGCTTTCTTCTTCACAGGTAGAATAACCAAGTCTTTATTTCCCTTTCTTGATCACACAAGCTTATTGTGACGAGGTATTCACTTCAGTGGAAAAATACAAGCAATTTTGTATCTAAAGGACTGGTCTCTCATATGTTACCCTTTTAATTTGTTATTGTTGATATGCAAGTTTACAATTAAAATGTGATGATCTTGGGTAATAGATTTTGTTGTACCTATCCCCCCATATCCTTTCCTCCCCTCCAAACATCTAGATGCCTACCACCACTTGCCAAACCCAGAACAACACAGAAAGCACAGCCTTGGTAGAAGTAGGCAAGTAGTATGGGGCATTTGTAAAATGTTTGGGAAAAAAAACCCACCAAAAAACAAGAACAAAAAAATAAAGAAAAAAACCCCAACCAAACAAACAAAAAGAAAACTCATGCCAACTTTCATTCTGGTGTATAAAACCCATTAAGTTAAAGCAGTATCTGACCATGCCTTCAACATACAGAGATGTTCCATCAAGCACAGATCATACTTTAACAAAACTCTTTTATATTCTATCAGTCACACTATAACCAGATTTAATCAATTCCACAGGAATGGAACACATCAGAGGAATTCCTACAGCATTCCAATACAGAAACATAACTCTAATTGTTGTGTGATACCATCTTGCAAGATAAAAATCTTGCAAGGAAAAACAGAGAGCATGCATCAAAAATTCTCTAGACAAGTCCTCAAGTGTATAATTTTAAACTTTTTAATAAAGGTACTATAATCTTTCAAAATGAGAAATCCAATTTGAGAGTATTTTGTCTATGGAAATGATCCATTTTTTAGAGTAGCTGCTTCCATGTAGAATTTACTAACCACAGTGTATCTATTAAACCAGTAATAACCCAAGCTATTGAAATCCACTATTCCAAAACTTGTGGTAATCTCATTTCTCTAGTCTTTTTACTTCTGAGTAATAGGAAAAGAGTTCTGGTCCATTAACTCGCCCACTCTTTCCTGGAGGAAGTTAACCAACTCGGCTAAAACAAAGACATGAGTTTCATCCAGGTCTTGTATGATGAACTTCTTTCCCAATGCATTCGACTCATCCAAGTAGAGCAGAAATTGCTTCATTGCTGGGTCACTGTAGAGAAAAAACACACATCAGATCCTACTTCATTGTAATAAGATACAGTTAAAACCATAACCTCCACCATTTGAAGACACTTCTTTGGGGAACTAATATTAATTTCAAGAGCTGCTCACAATTTGAAGTTTATGAAGCTTTTGAAAAAATTGTTTCTTTCACAATAGGAATTGCTTGCATTAGAGATAAAAATAAACTGGTAACAAAGTCTAATGAGAAAAATGGGCTGCTTGATTAGCAAACTGCCTCTATGCAGCTGCTAAAGCAGCTTAAAAACAACCCCCAAACCTTAATCAGGTAAGTTTGAACTTACATTTTCTATCTTCAGCAATAGCAGCATAAAAACATGTTTTCTTAAAGCATGTTTTTGTTTAAAGGTAACCAAAACCCAGAGGAACATAGAGCTCACTTGAAGTAGTATAGCACAGAGAAAAAGTGGTCATGTGAGAATTGTACGTTTATCACACCACAACTGAACAGTTTCTTCTTTTTCACGATGTTACCTTCTAAGTTAAACATAAGTGTTTAGAAGAAAACATTTTGGAAGTATGAAAACTGAAATAGCTGCATTATGCTAAGCAACTAGACAAAGTGGCTTCAAAATAGAAGCTCTTTCATCCACTGAAATTTTGAAGAATTCAGACAATATTATTCTGACACTAGCTTTTTCAAACCAGGAAAAACATGTTTGTTGCTAAAACTTAGTATCTGACTGCAACAACTGGTGAAGAATATGTGCAAGAAATACAGGAAACTGCAATCAAGTAGCTCTGTCCACTTTCAAAATTATGAACAGTTATTTTGGCAACATATTAAGAATTCTTTTAAGATTTACTATGTTAGTAATTCTTTAAAAGAACTCCTTGGTTAATCTCTTCTTCAAATACTGTATGAGGACCAATTCTCCCTTACCTAAAAGTATATATGGTCCAAAGACATGCACTATGAGACCAAACCCCTCGCCTGCCCCCTACCCAGTAACTCAAAAAAAATAACCTTTAATATTAGCCTCAAACCTGCAGAAGCATGACTAGAGCAAGGTAAATTTTCAAAGTACAAAGTAATTTTGAGGAAAGGAGAACAGGAAAGTCTGGAGGCTATTATCTTCTTTAGAAGAGCCATTATTTATGTACTCTGGCATTTAAGAGGAGAAACAGAAGAGTTGAGAAAAATCAGATACCAGAAGTATGTGGTTCCCAGCACTCTTCCACATCTTTCTTTGGATGAGTGCAGGGAGGTTTACTTTTTGCTCACATTAGCAGTTGACCCACATTAGTAGCACTAGATGGCACGAGCTTTTATCCTAGCTGGTATGACCAGCCTGTATGATGTTAGGTAGTATCCAGAGACTGGTTTTCACACAGTCAACATACAGAACTGTAACTGGTGCCAGTAGATGTATGTCACAGCAGAAACAGATCTCGTTACAGTACTTGAAGATTGTAATCCTTGATATGGTGTCTTCAGAAAAGTTAGCTATTTATTAGAAGAGTATGGAATAAAAAGACCTGTACAACATTTCGCTATTTTATTTGCATGATTTACACACTCAGAAGTGACTTTTTTTTTTTCTTTCCACTTCCTGTCCATTTGGTATCTTAAACATCCTCAGAAAATTGGTTGTAAAGAACTTCTCTATCAAGTGTAAACAAGGGTTTATAGTAGCTCTGCATTTTCGCCTAGGATGGAATTTTGTGCCCAGTCATAGGCTACCCTTATGCAAAGGTGGGGAGAAAACCAAACAAAACTAAACCACCAAAAGCTAGCAAAACCAACTCAAAGGTGAGTTTCCTAGAGGCTGTTGAAAATGTCTGATAGCATAACAACAGCTGTAGTTTTGTTATCAGATAGAAAATTTCCTTCCAGGGAGAATTATTAAGTTCCATGCTAATACTAAGAGCAATGTGTCCACAGAGCTGGATAAACACACAAATCCTTAGGTATGTGTAAAATAAGCACAGAAGGTGTGAAATAAAATATTTTGCTAACTGCTTGAGATTCTAGAACTTCTTGCTTTGTCAGTCAAGAATTTTGCTCTGGGCATCTTTACATAGTCAGCTGCAGGCAAGCAATTTCTTGTGCTTCAGAATGTTTGTCAAGGTACTACATGAAGCCAAATTTGAGAAGACAGGATTTTTGTTATAGCAGACTTTAGGCTCCAAACTGCTCACACATAGCCATTAGACATCCAGACTTCAGCTGGCTAACCTCCAATCAGCTCAGGACTTAGCTGCTGCAAGCTCACAGCTATATGCAGGCACATCAAAAGAGGTTCAAGGTTCTTCTACTTTTGTGCAGTTACAATCTGTTAAAAAGTTTACAATCTAAGTATACAGCAGAATAATGCTAAGCAATGACACTGCAAATCTTGACATGCTTATTTTTACTTTGGAGGTAACCAGTTACCCAAGTTACTCTAGAGACTTGAGATTGCATGAAAACCTGTTTACTGCGCATACACCAAAAACGCTTTTACATACAACAAGCACATTTCTTCTGAGTACAATCTACAACAGAACCACGTCAGCCTTGAATGGAATTTGGACTAGAGTTGATAAAAAAAGACATGACAAAGGATGAAAGATTATCTCATTTCCCTCTAGAATCAGTAAAGAAACACACTGCTCACAAACAATAATAAAAGCCCCTATTATTTTAAAGCAATATAAAGAACAAGAGGGAACATCAAAGGGTTAAGCATAATTGGAAAACAATGTCTTGAAAAGGCATTTGGAATTTGGGTTACCTCCAACTTCCTCTTTCCTTCTTCCCCCAAAGGCCATACTTTTCTCCTGTCTGCTTGGTCAGCACCACCCGTCCTCACAACGATTTCTGGTTTGTTTTTTTTTTTTTTAAATCTAGATTCTTAAATTACTTATAATATTTCCGGCTCTAAAGAAACAGGGAGACACTAACACAATGAGAGACAGTAAGCGCTGTTACTCACCATTCAATGAGAACACCTTTCAGAACATTCACCATCTTCTCAGTTCTCTTACCAACGCTGGAAGGAGGAGGGGACAAGAACAACTCTTGCCTCGGGTTATACACGTAAACAGAGGAAATCTGAAAGAAAAAGACACAACGCTTTGGCTGAACTCGACGATCCCTCACAGCAACTCACCACCCCCAGAGCAGCAGCGCTGCCCCGCCAATAGGCCGAGGCCTTGGAGAGGGGCCCGCAGGGCCCGGCCAGGGCAGCAGGGCTCACTCAGGTGAGGCGCTGAGCGGCGAAAATTAAAATCCTCTCCCCTCAACCCTGAGGGCAGTCCGGGCAGCTCTGCTCGCCGCCAGCACTGCCGAGCTTCTTCAGCGGCTGTGGCCGACTACGGGCCCTTCTGCCGCCGGAGCCCAGGCGAGCCGCGGCCTGGGCAGAGGGAGACAAGCCCCAACCCGGCACTGGGGCGGCCAGGAGCGTTGAACAGGCAGGACGGCTCCCAGCCGGCAAGTCCCGCGGCTCCCAGGA